AGGGGGGGGGGATTTTGAAACCATTCATGAATGAACATCTTTTGAAGCGTAGCCACGTAAACTATTGAAAGCAAAGGGGGGGGGGGGGGGGGTGGGGGTGATAAAAAAAACAATCCACGAGGCGTAACATACAGTCCAAGTAGTAGCGATATATATATATATATATAGGTTCTTACACACGTACATTGATTCAAATTTAAGTTGGTCGAGTCAAAGGAGAAAAAAAAATGTCGTTTTTTGTGTGTGTAAAGGTGTTTTTTTTATTACAAAAGAAATCCGGTGTCCCCACCCCCCTTTTTCTTAGCGGTGTTGTACCACCATCACCATCTTTATAGTTCGTTATATCTCATCAACTTTAATATTTGAGATTTCTTTGTAGTTTTTTTTACGGGAAAGGTTCTAAATTAAGTGAGAGCACGGCGTCTAAAGATTATAAAGTAGAAACAGCAAAAAACATTGTGGTTAAAAAAAAAAAAATAATAATAAAAGAATTTGTCACATTAATTTACATGGTTAACTTGTGAAACATTAGTGAACTTAGAACTTAGGGATAAAGTCAAGTGCTGCTGAGTGATCATCACGAAATATTGTATTAATTATATCTTCTTGAGAATGTTATTTAGATGAATCTTACAAAACGAGATCTAACTTTTTCGAATTTTTTTTTATTATTCTATTGCCCATTTAAAATAGTGAAATACACGTATTAGACGTTGCCTTGTTTTAATGCCTGATGTATGCAGCTTGCAATTGAAGCATAAATTATATATTCATAATCTTCCTCATATAATGGAGATGCGTATAAGAAAACCACAACATATGTGTCTGTGTACGCTAACGATTCTATCATCAAAGACGCATAAGGATTTCTTTATCGCTAATTAGATTATTTGTGTTCGATCGAATCGATCAAAGAGTTTATGCCCGGGTCTAGCAGCTACTATCAAGCGATACACTAACTAATTGGGATTTAAAGCGTGTGTGCCAAGAAACAGTGCATCTCCATTAGTCTTTGGAGTCTGGCTTGCGGCTGTTTTCAACGCTGTCCTTACCGACGGTCATATCACCGCTGTTATACCTATGCATTGTCGAGAGTAAAAAAAGCAAAAAAAATGTACACATTTTCAAATCACCCTTTCCAACTTCTTCCTCAAGGTATGTGGTGGGCATCAAATAGATTATCCAAGAGACCCGTGGTTATACACCTTGACATGGCGCCGTGCTTTGATTTTTTTAATTAAATAGAGTTGCGCTGTTAATCAGCCACACGCTCCAATCTTGCCTAATTTTAATCCGGTGACACGACTGTCGTCATAAATTAACTTCTTGTAAGCATGCTACAAGACAAGGGAACAGCATAAGGCTTTGTCTACGTCGTATGTGAAAATTGGACTTGGTAGAGCAAGCATGATCCAGTGGGCATAAAGGGAGGTTTAGCTAAAGGAAGGCGAAAAGTTCAAGGAGTCACCTAAGTAGCGCTGCTGGTCATCCACCGCATTCTGGCCTATTCCCAGTCGGTTGGCAAGAACAGAGTGGTCAATACCAAATGCCTTTTAAGTTAAATACGTGTTTTCCGCATTTGGTTAGAATTTTAAGACCAGGCGCTGAAAGTATTCTGACTTTGTGTTGTGGCTGTCAGTCAAACCCAAAAGGTGTACTGAACTCTTAGACAACATGGCAACAACAGAAACGGGCGAGTCACTTTAACAAACTCAAAATCTGGCGAAACGTTATATGTTTGATATTTTTATTTTATTTTAAAAAAACAAAAAAAACAACAGATATTATATTTTATTGTGTTAAATCCTAACTTACAATGGTTGCTTCAAAAATGTGATCACATAATTTGTGACGGGCATGACTATGTTACGTTCTCTTTTCAACAAGGGCTTAAAAACATTTTTTTTAAAAAGCTCCACACATTCCCTCTCGCTTTTAAAACATTCCCGGTCATCTCCCACCCCAAACAGACCTTACCCCTACTTTTCCTTGACAATAACAATAAAATAAATACTTATGGAAGTACTGCATGTGTTGTTGTTTTCCTACTTTAATTAACTTGCTGACAAAAATGTACCTTTACAAATAGTGCTCGAACAAAATTCACTACAAAATCATCTAAGGCTGCTAATGAAAATGCAATTGAACCTTAACACATTTTATGGTACAATCTCCCGCAACCGTGCTTGAGAGTCCCTGCTTTTAACCATTTGATAGAAACCCAAAATTTCCTTTTAAAAAATATATACATTGCGAAACACTGGTTTACTAAATAAAGATGTAGAAAATAGTATACTGTCAAACTTGTCAATTCGCAAAAGACAATTCATATATCTACATTTGGATTTAGTAAATTACATCACTTTAGTACTTAGTTTTCAATATGAAATCAATTTCTGGATGAGGGAAACATTCTATTTTAGAAAATGTAAATGTTGTCTTGGTTTCTTGGGTTTAGAATAGTCTCATCATATTTGTGTTTTGTTTTTTTTCTTTAGCTCTACTCATCTTGACATATGAGCATTCTGTCCCCACACAATTTTCTCTTTCGTGATATCTCACGTGTTATATTAATAAGGTGATCTGATGTATCCGTATGCTATCTGAAGCAAAGACAAACTTTGAATGTTCGTTCCAAATCAGGAAATTAACTCAAAAGTTGGTCTTTGGTGTCAAACTCATGATTGACCCGTGAGCCGTGTTGCCGACGCAAGGCGGGCAGAGCCAGGAAGCGGCTTGCGTTGAAGGAACCTCTCTCTCTCGTGCTGTCCTTAGGGATCCAGTTTACTGGACATTTTTTTTTATTTAGTCAGACCATGGTTAAACCGGAACTTCAAATAGGCTGGATTGGATAGCCGACCTTCAACTTACGCCGTGACGCGAAGTGGTAGGTTGTTCTAGACGGTTTGCTAGCCGCCGCGTCCAACACTTATGTGCGTATGGCTGACGAAACGGCTGCTAAAACATAATCAGTATGTTAACGTGAAAATGAACATGTGTCGTATTTATTTATTTCTTTTTTAAAACGTTAGCGACACACTAACTCAAATACGTGTCCACCGTGGCTAAGATGTTCTTGCGACACACAGAGCAGACGAAGATCGGCCCCGCACATTCCAGGCAAGTGATGAAGTGTCCGCAGGGGAGGAACGTTACCCCCCTTGGGTTGGTCTTACACAGAGTGCAGGTTCTTGAAATCTCCAAGAGTTCGTTTTCCCTTTCCACGGCGACTAAGTAGTCGCGGAGGCGGTCACCCGCTGTGCTTTCAGTTTCTCGTTGCATGTTTTCTTTAACCTCAACATCTGGATACGATAGTGGACGAGATGTTTGATTTGAAAATCCTCCCGCTCCAAGAATACTCGGTGGCTCTAGAGTGGATAACGACAGCTGCACATTTATGTTATCCACGTAATCATTTCCATCAGCTGGGTTTAGTCTGGATGAAGAGTTATCCAGGGAGTCAAACGGAGCGGGTGTGAAATTTGAAGGCGTTGAAAATGTTTGGTTTGACGTTTGAAAAGATCTCCTGCTACTTGGCACTAAATTTTGGGTAACTTCTCCACGACGTCCATCAGTTGCAGCAACACTGTCAAGGCTCTGACTCATAATCGAGTTCAAGCTGCTAAAACGTGAGGCTCTCCTCGTTTCAAGATCGGACACTGTAATTTCTTTTCCATCTCTTTCAACGGGTCTCAGATCGTTACGAAAATGCCCTGGGATTAATGCCACCAGACTCTCGCACTCACTATGCAGTGTCTCACCGGAGATTTTTCTTCCCTCTTTCGCCATCTTATCCACGCAAAAAAATACCAAACGCAGTGGGATAGCATCGTTTACTTGGCTCACGCTCTTGATGGATACCGAGTGTTCTTGATAATAACTCTCTATTGTCATTACGCCTAATTCGTTCATCTCCCGTATAAGGTGTTCCAGTGGGTCTGAGTGGACCGTAAGGTGTGTTAGAGACGAGTGCGCCATTTTATTTGCTTGAAATTGTATGGTGCAACTTGGTACGGCCCTACAGGGAAAAAAAATAGAAATGGAAATCTCAAACGATTATTAAATGGAAAGTTCAGTTTTTTTAAATGTATTTCTGTATATTCTAAAATTGAATTGAGTATCTATCTCGTACGTAAAACTAAAAAAAAAAAAATTAAAAAAAGAGTGTGTTTGTCTATTTAGCTTTAATGGAAAATAAAATGTATAAATGTAAATCAATAAATTTAAATGAACAAAAGTATGCTTTAAGGAGCTTTAGTCATCTTTAAATTGATTAAAAGTAAATATGATGTTTAGTTTAAACTTTTCAAGAAAATAGAACATATAAAATTAGTTGGCCTATAAATTTAAAATAACTTCATACTGAAAAAGGTAAAAATTTGTTAAAGTAAACCTACTTAATGACAGATGGACACAACTTTAGAGTCAATACATTAAATGTGAAATATAAATTAAATACGGAAATAGATCGTCTATAAAGGGACGTTAAGTATATATATATAGATATATATATCTTTTTTATTAAACAAAAGTTATAAGACTAATTCTAATAACAGCGTTTTGTTCTGAGATTTTAAGATCTTACCGGATTTACAACTCTCATCTGCTGGAATTTGTAACGGAATCCATTGATCCCGTTAACATTTAGTAACGACGCCTTAAAATACATATATCCTTCTAAACATAGACATATTCCATGACATAAGCGCTGATGCTATTTGGAACTATTTTTTATGACCCAGTTGCACTAAGTATACGATCATTATCTTATTTTTGGTCTTCAGTTACTAGAATTCCCATTTATAACTGCGGCACACTCGTGTTCTCAGCTTTGTCTCCCATCTTTACAAAGAAATCAGTCGTCCAATTTCTGTTTTCCAAGAAACGATGCCGGCATAATACGAATACTTTTTCGAAACATGTTCCATTGAAGAAATCTATTTATAGAGATGGCCATCACCACATTTTTCGTGAGAGGATCGTGAAGCTTCGTATTAAGCAAGCTCTATCAACTGACTTTAAAAAAAAAAAAAAAATATTTGCATATCAGATAAATGTAATAAGACGCGTATTTTACTTAGGTGAAAAAGAAAAAAAATGTTCTAGCAGTTTAAATGGATCGCTATGTTTTTGTGCGTTCCATTCATTACAGGGAAATTATCTGTAACGGAATTACATTCATTACAGTGAAATTATCTGTAACTCAAATTTTCCCGTTTGAACAGTAAACAATGAGAGCATGGCTCACTTTGTTTTTCTCCACGCCATGATTAATTTTGGAAAGTGAACGTATTCCTGGGTACATTCAAGACACAAACATTTACAATACATAAGTGCCGATTATCCTGGCGTCAATGTCTAAAACAAACCTTCATGCACGTAGTCACTAACAGTTGTGACCTTTTGCTCTGTTGTAATACTGCAAATTTCCGTAGAAGATTAGAAGCACATCTAAGTTTAGCGCAGACCATTTAGAGGCCTTTGCTACGTTAGTTAAAAAAAAAACACCAAAACAACAAAAACAACTTTACACGTAAAAACAACAAGACTATATTTGTTTTGTTACACCATATTTTTTTAACCTCTGCAGAAATGATTTCGTAAGTAAAAAAGATCAATAAAACAAGTTATACATTTGATTTACCGATAATTTCTGGATAGCACCCAGCTGTCCTAGAAATGTGGTCAGGAAAGATTTACCCAATCAGCTATTTATAGACGACCCAGACAGTGGCGTAGCCAGGGTTGGTGTCAACCGTTGCGGTAAACTCATGGTGTCACCCCCACCCCCTCCTCCCTGACTTCCAATGGCTTTCTTCTTATTAAAAAAAGTCCACAATATAACAATGAAAAGAGCAGAAACAAAGTAATTGAGGGCCAGGAGGTAAATGTATTTAAGAACTGTAACATGCACTTAGAGTCTCCCGACCACATCGTATATGGTATCAACGCTTCTTGTCACTTACGAAAGTTACCAAACACTTCATTCCGCGTTGAATCATGGTCAAAACGGTGTTTTTATATGACCTAGTGATAGGGTCGCCTCATTTCTGATGCATCAACCTTGAGCTTTTAATAAAGCACGCATTTGGATTGGTTACATATAAGGAAAATCTACGTTTGATTGGTTATCCTTTTATAAAATTTGGCTTTAGTCAGGGGTGTGTTCTTTGTAAATATGCACTTTGGTGTCACCCCCGAAATGGTGTACTCTGCTGCGCTCCAAAATTATCCTTTCCCGGAAAACAATTTCCAGACCACTCTCTTGTCGGATAAAAAGAAAAAGCCAAAGCATGTCCGGACTGAAAAAGAAAACAAAAAAACTTTTCCATCAAAACTTGTATTTTATATAAAAAAGTCAAATTTAAAAACAAAAACAAAAGCTGGGATTTAAATGAAGGAAAACTTAAGAAACGTTTTATTACTTGCTTGGGAACAAATTATAATATTGTAACTAAAAAAAAAACATTCAACCACTTTAAATGGGGACTATTAAATGCACGTTATTCGCATTACCAGCATGATGTCATGGCCAAAACTAGATATCAGGCCATGTCAAATATAAGTAGCTTTAAAAATGTTTAATTTTCATTAGATTACCTGTAATAATTAAAGGAGAAAACAAAATTAATTTTTTAAAAATATAAAATTTAAAATTATTTCATTTTGACATGTGTTAGTATTGCAACTGTATAATATTGGAAAAACTCCATACGTATTATAGTCTGGGCAAATCGAGGCTCCGATTAATTACGAAAGATAAAAAAAAAATTATCATAAGACTTATCCTTATCTTTGAATTACAAGCCTCTATAGTAAGTAGGGCCCTAATAAATTTTAATAAAAGAGACGAAGTCATACAGGTCTTAGTGACAAATTAAAATTATTTTGTTTGAAAGATGGCCGAACATCCAAGGCTTACAACGTCTCATGACGACCTGGGGAAGTTATGCCGCAGCTGAAACCCGAAAATCCGGACAACGCTTAAATGGATGTTTGGTTATCTTTAAAAAAAACTCGCATTTTGTGACCCATTCTTGTAAAGTGCATTTCATGAAGAGATCAAAACATCGTGGGGGTGGTTCAAGTTAAAAATACGGATAATCGAGTTATAAATTCGGATACTTAAATTCCAAATCTAGCAAAACAAGTTAAAAATCTGAAAAATCAATTTAAAAATCTAGCAAATCTGATTTAATATCTGGAAAATCAAGTTTCAAATATGAAAAATCAATTAAAAGTCCGTTAGAAATCACATTACAAATCTAGAAAATGTGCTTTAAAATCAGGAAAATTAAGTAAAAATCTGGAAAGTAGAGTTTCAAATTTGAAATAATCAACTTACAAATCTGGAAAACCAAGCTACAAATGTGAAAAAAATAAATTTACAAATCTGGAAAATGAATTTAGAAATCTGGAAAAAAATCAAGTTACAAATATGAAAAATAAATTTACAAATCTTTAAAAAATCATCAGGTTACAAATCTGGAAAATCAGGTAACAAATCTGAAAATTGGAGTAACAAATCTAGAAAATCAATTTACAACTCTAGAAAATCTGGTTTAAAATCTGGAAAATTAAATTACTAATCTGGAAAATCCAGTTACAAATCTGGAAAGTCCAGGTTCAAATTTGAAAAATCAAGTTACAAATCTTTTTTTTTTTTTTAATCTCGTTACAAATCTGGAAAATCAAGTTCCAACAATTTAAGGGCACGTTTCTCTTTTGGAATAAATCTATAATTCTGAAATCAAGACAACCATAGCTTTCAGATTCCTTTTTTTTTTTTTTCATCAGCATTTTTAAAAATAGGCCTATGTGTTCATTTTTTTTTTTTCCCATTTACTTTTTAAAAAAATTTGGAATAAATCTATAATTCTGAAATCAAGACAACCATAGCTTTCAGATTCCTTTTTTTTTTTTTTCATCAGCATTTTTAAAAATAGGCCTATGTGTTCATTTTTTTTTTTTACCATGTACGTTTTAAAAAAAATATATTTTGTATTCGGAAACAATAGTAACGAGTAGCAAGTTTTCAAAATTTAATCTATTCAAATCTTAAACTGAGACGCTGATGATCTTGTTGCCATAATAACATACTGATCAATGAGTTCCAGCCTATTAACTGGGGAGCCATTAGTTTATAGTCCTTCCTTGATCTGTTATTATACTAACCTGGCTGCTTTTTTTGCGCTGGAGAATTACTTAACATTCTTGGGTGTAAATTGTTCTAGTTTAAAAAAAAATTACCTTAATCAGGATACTTTTTTTCCCATATGCCTAAAATGAATATTTACAAAATCAACACCACATATCCCTTTATTAGGATCAAATAAAAATAAAAAGATCCTATCTTATCATTACTAATGTTAACAGTATTAGGAAAAAATTTGAGATCAGTGTTTGTACTGACGTATTATGACCTAATTGATGTTTGTCGCTCCTTGTAACACATACTTGCAGAGATTATCCATTACTCTAAATCCAGTAGTTCTTAACCTGGGTTCGATTGAACCCCAGGTGTTGGGTGAGTCAGTCTCAGCGGTTCGGCTGAGGTCCCAAAAAAATCAGGGAAAAAAAAAAGCATATTTTATTATTCCTATTAAGAAGGGTTCGGTGAATGCGCATATGAAACTGGTGGGGTTCGGTACCTCCAAAAAGGTTAAGAACCACTGCTCTAATCAAAGAAAATTGTTTAAAAATCTTTCTATCTGAATCTTTTCATCAAACAAAACAACTCTTACATACATTTTTTTTCCTGACCCTCAATTAATTTGTTTCTGTTCTTGTTATTGTTATAACGTGGACTTATTTTTATTAGAAGAAATCCATCGTGGATAAGAAAGGAAAATAACATGTTACAAAATAAAATAACAACTTAAGTTTTGTTTATTTATTTTTTTTAATTCTTCATTGTTTTAAGAAAGTGTCTCATCTATGTCAATTTATTTCATAAAAAGTAAAATTAATTTGTTTATAATAATAAAATAATAATATATTTTTACATTTTATTTGTTTCAATTTTATTTGATTTTTGTTTATTGCATTTCTTAACTTTAAAAAAAAAATGTTTTTCTGAAACATAAAATACTCTTCCGGATTTTGTTGTTCTCATTAATGAATTTTATTGTTCTCATTAATGAATTTTATTGTTCTCATTTTATGAAGGATTTAAAATTTACTAAAGGACAAATGGACTTTGCTAAGCGACAGCAAAACACTTGTCAAACTCTTGATTTCTATACTTCTAGGGCTTAACCGGGGACACTTTTTGTAACACCGGGTCGGGGTACTTTGAGGAAAAGGCCTACAGACATTCCTACACACTACTACGTGTCAGGGTTTAAACAATAGACCTACAGACAGTCGTAAATCCTACCTCTCGGCCTTAAAACAACAGACCTACGGACAGTCGTAAATCCTACCTCTCGGCCTTAAAACAATAGACCTACAGACAGACATACAGACAGTCTTAACCAACACCCGTGGCCCTTAATTGATTAACATTATGGTCACCTCCACGCATGACGGCTCTTTTATGTAAAATATGTGAAGGTGGGGAGGGGCGGGTTTCAAAGTGGAAGCAGGACATACCAGAAGCAAAAAAATATATGTAACAGATTGTTTGTTTGTCTCCCTTGGAACGTACATACATAGGTAAGTTGTGTAAGCAACATTTCCACGCTTCAAATCACTATGCTGCCTACTGTTGCGTTCGTCTCGGTTGATACGACATTGGATTTTTGATAACGCATAATTCTGTAAATCAAGACGACATTTTATTTTTAGACTTCATAATTAAATAGTTTTTTTTTAAAATAAATTTTGGGTCCTTAGTGGAAAGAATCGACTCTGTGCTTTGACTCTCTATGATTCGAGAGACAGTGTCTTCTTCTTCTTAATGATTTTAGCTTTCTTTTTCTTTTCCTGAGCAAGTCTCACGAAGCATCGTACCTGACACAGTACAATGTGAAAAGGGGGGGGGGGCACCCACCTCAGGCGATCTCAACGTAGAAAGATCGTAGCAGGAGGTGACTATTATTCGGTGTTGTTATTGTTCATGTTCCTCTGTCCCCCCAGCGAGCTTCGTGCGTAACGTCTCAACTCCGGTGAACAGGTTGCTACTTTCCTTATACAGCGTCTGTTGTTTCCTAAGTCTGTGTTATAAAAGGAACGACGGTAAATCTTCTCTGTCGACGGGTTTTTTTTTTTTTTTCATCTTCATCGCTATTTCGGGATCCGGCAACTGCCTGTTCCTATCAGTGTGTTATTTCTTGACACAAATAGTTGACGAATGCAATGCAATCTCTCTCTACGACACATGGCAATATATTTCATTGCATATTATAAACAATGAGAGGATACCACTTTTTTTTTTTTTTACACTCGGACCAGCCGGTTATTTTCTATAAAAATTTTTTTTTTTTTTTTCTTCATCGCTATTTCGGGATCCGGCAACTGCCTGTTCCTATCAGTGTGTTATTTCTTGACACAAATAGTTTACGATTGCAATGCAATCTCTCTCTACGCCACATGGCAATATATTTCATTGCATATTATAAACAATGAGAGGATACCACTTTTTTTTTTTTTTACACTCGGACCAGCCGGTTATTTTCTATAAAATACCCGGACCCGGTTTAAAAAAGTGCACCCGGTTAAGAATTAGCACAAATATTTGTATGGATATATACTTTTTTGTTAAGAGGTCGCCTGAATGTTGGCTTTGCTCTGAGTGCTACTTTTGTTTGAAGCTGAAATGACGTAAAACAAAATTATGAAGCCAACTCTTTTGATAGTCACAAAAAAAAATTATTTATTCAAACAAAAAACAAAACATTTAAAAACTTTTTTGTAAATTAAATAGATTTCTTTTGTACATTTGATCTTAATTTTTAAAAAAATAATTATTTCACAAATGTATTAAAGACATCAATCATTAATCGTGCATAAAAGAATTGAATTCGATAAACAATGTATACAGCATTCATGAACAATTCCGAAAAATGATAATACAATTCAAAATAATAATCAAGTTTCCAATTTATCAAGCTAATTATAAGAGTGTTGCACTGCGTTGAATTTATTTACATAAATTGCTTGTCTCTTATTTATTAGGGATTTTTAAATTTAAAAAAAACATTGTTGGTAACAAGAGGTTACTTGTGATTTTTTAAAATTTTATTTAAAGCGAAAATCTTTGGATAATGGAATGAAAAGGAAAAAATAGAAAATGAATCTCATGCGAAATCCATATTGATAAAGTTGAATACCTGTAACAGTAAAATTTAATGGGAAAAAAAAAATTTAAATTGAAGTGAAAGAAAAGTGAAAAAAGATTAATTTCGGAAAATGTAAGAAAAGTACAACTAAGAATCATAGAGTACGAAAATTAAGACTGACAGAATAGTAATAATAAACAGACATGGGGAAAAAAGGAAAGAACATTGTTTTTTTTAAAAAAAAACGTAGTTCACAACAATTAAAAAAACATGAACTTTATCAAACGTTAACGAAACGTTTAAAAAAAAAAAAACAAGTTTTAATTAAATATCTACCTTCTGGGTAGTTTTTTTTTTTTTTATAGAAAAAAAGGAGGAATCTTAGAGTGTGTCTTGTATTTTAATTTCATGTCTAAATATATATATATATATATATATATATATATATCCCCTATAACCTTTAACTGACATCTAGGCCATTTCACATAATAGAGAAATACAATCTTATTCGGTTCTGAAAACTGAACCGCTAATTTTAAATGACAAGAAGTTGATGTAAGTCGATAAAAAAAAATTGTTATTTTTTTTAAGTAGTTAAGCAAGAGATTTTGGCCATAACCTTTTACATATAAACCAGGCATAATTAACAGATACATATGTTCGTGAAAGTGAGACATTTTTTTTCTTCCATTACACAATATAGATTAACAAAGGTAGGTCTCCACTGTGGCCAAGATGTTCTTTTTACACACCGAACACACGTACACAGGTCCGGCGCATTCTCTGCACGTGAGGAAATGACCGCACGGCAGGAACGTGATCCCCCTCGGGTTGACCCTGCACATGGTGCACATCCGGGTCGTCTCCAGGAGGTTGTTTTCTTTCGTCACCGCGTGTAAACATTCCTTGACGAGCGCCGCCCGCGTTCTTTCGCCGTCCTGCCCCTCGTTCGGCCTCGCGTCGCTCTTCGGCTTCAAGGGTTCAGCGTCCGAAAAACCATAGCCGCTGGCACCGTTTTCGAACAATCGTTGGTCCAGTTTCGTGTTTACAGGACTAGGCTCCAACGTCGAAGAAAACGAGACCGCTTGTAAATTGTCGACTTGATCTTCGTAGGCCGAAAAACTTCCCAAACCTGCAAAGTCAACGACGTCAAGGTCGGCGCCGGGGCTCCGATGTGTCCGGGTGGGCCCCGGAGACGTCACGTGACTACTCGAAATTATTTCTGGCAGGCTTAAATGTTCACTGTTCGCGGAGACGTTCGCGGGACTTCTGTTGGAAGACCGATTTCGCCGTTTGGCTTTCTTCCGGTGGTTCGGGGAGTCGCTACCGCCACTTGCCGCCGGGGTTTGGGTAACCGCTGAGTGCCCACCAGCAGCGGGGTGGGACGCGACGGGTTCACTGCGTCTCGACTCCACTGCGATGAGCTCGCTGATCGTAACGTCTTCTTTCGCGTCGTCGTTTCTTTCCAAATAATTAGCGAACGTCACCTCAAGGTCCAAACACTCTCTCGTTAAGGACGCGCCGCTGATCACCTTTCCTTCTCTTTCCAGTTTGTCGACGCAGTAAAATATTTGATTGTCGGAGAAGTCGCTGACTTCGAGCGTCGACACGATGGCATTTTTGTGTTTCGAAAACAGCGCTTGTTTTTTGGTTCTGTCGAAAACTATTAAATCCTTTCCCGGTTCATTTGATGGACTCGCTTCAAAGTTCGACGCCATTTCGCAGGGGTTTGTTTGTATGTAAGAATTCCAGAGGTTGTGATGATGTCATATGTTCTATATTCCTCACTGCCTATATCAAGTGCGGTTGCGTCTTTTAAAGCATTTCCTACAGCAGGCCCCTTTTTTTGGTATAGTGCAGACTCTTAAAATTTAATCCCTGTATCCAGTGATTTCTGAAAAGAAAAAAAAATGAAATTAAGAGTTAGAAAGTTAATAATACAAACCCCGAAATAGTTCTAATTGAAATGGCAGCGTTGATGAGGATGTAAGCCAATGCTAAAACATGCGTGACAATAATTGGTGTCTGTTTTGAGCGTCTCGTCGAGTGTGTCGACGCTAGGCCTGAGGGAGGTGTAGGGATGGGGGGGGGGATTCAAACCCAGGCAATTAAAAGCTGAACAAATCAACACAAAGCTAAGCATTCCGGGAGGGGGGAAAGGGGGAGACCGGGGTCTCGTCAATCATCGGCGGGATGCCAAAAGATATTGTGTGATTATTATATTCACTGCAGTAGTGCAGGGATTACATTAACAGTTGAGTTATCGTTATCTGTGCTCATTTTGAATCAAAGTTGTCAAATTTACCCCAACCCCAGCCGAAACTTAACTGAACAAAAATAATATCCACTCAAAAAAAAAAAAAAAAAAAAAAAAAAAAAAAAAAAACCACAAAAAAAAAAAAAAAAAAAAAAAAAAAAAAAGCAATTTAAAAATTTGAAAAATATATCATTGTAATCCTGCATTCTTGAATGACATCTCTCCAAATTTCCAGGTCTGTAGCAGCTCTTTCAATGTCGGCCCAAGTCTTCTTTCCAATCACTCAAGACTCTAGTTAGGTCACTTCACAATGTGTTCTCATGTCAAAGGCTATGCTAAGACACCCTGCCCGCTTTTGCTCAGTGCAGTTCCAATTCGTGCTCTTTGAGTATTGATTAATCGCACTCCAATCCTTGTATAATTAGTTAATCTTTGAGTATGGCCGTGTTTCTTTGCTTTCTTTTGATGCCTGCGCATTCAATTTTCAATCATTTCACACATAACTATGCAAGCCATGTTCAATAATTTCACACATAATTATACAAACAATGTAAAAGTAGATACACATATAATTATACAAACAATTTAAAAATAATTTCACACACAGCTATACAAAAAATGTTCAATAATTCTACACGTTAATATACAAACAGTGTAAGAAATAGCTACACAGATAATTATACAAATATTGTAAAATTAGTAACACACATACTTATTATAAGCAAGGTAAAAATAATTTCACACATAACTGTACAAAGTTCAATAATTTCACATATAACTATACAAACAATGTAAAAATAATTACACACATAATTATACCAAAAAAAAATGTAAAAAAAATGTTACATCCATAATTATAATGCAATGAAAAAATAATTTCACACATAATTATACAAACAATGTGCAGTTATTTCACACAAAACTATACAAACAATTTAAACATAATTTTACACATAACTATACCATGTAAAAATAATTTCACACATAATTATACACGCAATGTAAAAACAATTTCACACATAACTTAACTACAAACTACAACGCTAATTGTATAGATAGTACACGTTAAAAAAGTTCGTAAAACATTGACATGATGAAAATAAATCTAGTTTGATACCAGGGCTTCCCAACTTGGTGTGCTAGTCTCCTCAGGCGGCGTCGGGTGGCATTTTAAGGGATGTAACGAGAGGTGGTTTATAGGAGCAAAGGAACCATTGACTTTTTTTTTTGCTTATAATCTTAATGTTTATATTTTGTTCTTCTTAATAAACATTTAATGTAATATAGTAAATACATACGAATTTTATTTTCTAAGTGTCACCGTTAATGTAATTTTTTTTTTTTTAAATATATAAATCCACTTTTTAAATGTTAAAATTCATTGTTACTTTGTGGAATGTGTAAGATACAGTGAAACATCTCGTAGGGGTGCAGAATATAGAATAATTTGGGAGACCCTGGTTAAAAAAAGGTAAATGAAACGACTCAAGTAAAACAGCACATCAAGACAGAGAATTTTCAAACTTAAACTAGAGCAAAAATTTAGAGGAGAAGGTATCACTGCCTATAAGAACTGTATCATCCTCATCTGTGGCGGTACAGCCCTCACGTACCTGCACCACCACATCCTTCCATTCGGATCAATCCATGGCTTTTCTCTTCCATGCGTGGACCGCCAGCTGGTGACGACCTCAATGAATGTATGAGCTTATAAATCAAGTAACCTGATGTTGCAATGGTATTTTTAATTTTGACAGTCTATTTATTGTCATTGTCATGACCTCCCCTTTCGTGTGTCTCAAACATGTGTAGTTCTCCGCCATTCCTATTTTACATTCACAAATTCTTCCCGAAGACATTTTGGGGAAAAACCTCAAGTGCCTGTGATATAATGCAGTGGGTGCAGTCTCTCCCCTTATTGCCTGTGATATATTTTAAGCTTTAGGCTGGAGCTTCTTAAGCAGAGGTGCCTCTTTCCTAGGGTTGCGTGAGGCAGAGCCAATGAGTTCGGGGAGACCCAGGAAATCAGGTTCCACGATTATTTTCAGTATTATTAGCATCTTTTCATTGTTTTGTTGTTTAATCGAGTCAGAGTTAATTCAAGTCAATAGTGGGTGCAGGATATGTCTTGAAATCATAAGTGGGTGTGGGAAATGTCTTGAAATCATAAATGGGTGTGGGAAATGTCCATAAATCACAAGTGGGTGTGGGAAATGTCCCTAAATCACAAGTGGGTGTGGGAAATGTCCCTAAATCACAAGTGGGTGTGGGAAATATCTTGAAATCATAAGTGGGTGTGGGAAATGTCCCTAAATCACAAGTGGGTGTGGGAAATATCTTGAAATCATAAGTGGGTGTGGGAAATGTCCCTAAATCACAAGTGGGTGTGGGAAATGTCTTGAAATCATAAGTGGGTGTGGGGAATGTCCCTTAATCACAAGTGGGTGTTGGAAATGTCCCTAAATCACAAGTGGGTGTGGGGAATGTCCCTAAATCACAAGTGGGTGCGGCGCTGCCATAAAAGGTCATGAACTCCTATCTAAGCATTACAAATAACCTCCTCTAGCTTTTATTAGCTTCAATTTTAAAAAAAAACGTTTTTATAATTAAAAAAAAACTTCTAAAACAGATGGTAATGTAAAGGGACCATTTTTTAAAAAATGAAATAAATAATTGAAAACTGGTATCTCGGTGGATCGAATGCATTCCTTGTCGATAGTTAATGTGTTTCTCTTGACAAACTAAGTGGTAAAGGTAAAGAAATGACGTTCACAATAAATAAACCTAATAACTTATTGTAGCTAGTTTAAACATCCTAAATTAATTCTTTGCCTTTAAAAAAAAAAATAATTCATGAATTAAAGGGCATTCTTGTAAATATAATGGTAATGAAAAGGTAACACGCATCATGGTATAAAATATCGGTCAGTTCTCGCAGTCGATTTCAATTGAGCCGTTTGACAGGGTCAATAACCTGAAATAAGATGGGAAGGGATTTTTTTAATTTTTTTTGGGGTGGGGGAGGGGGGAGGGGGGGTGTCAAACATCAAAAAACCTGCATGAATGTATACTAACAAAACAAAATATTACATTTGAAACCCAAAATGTCCGGTTCTTTAATCTCTCTCTCTCTCTCCCTCTCTCTCTATCTCTCTCTCTCTCTCTCTATCTCTCTCTCTCTCTATATATATATATATATATAAAATAATAATTTATTAAATGGCCTATACCTCAAATAATTGGGAAAAAAATTAATTCAGCGATGGACAAAATACAAGTTGTAAAAAAAAAAACGTCAAAACAACAATTCAAAATGAGAGACTTTATTGTATACAATATTTTTAAAAAACATAATATATTTGCAGTGACGTCATTTTGGGTAGGGCTGTTTAGGGCATTTGAGCCTCCGCCCCACGAGTTTGCAGGTTTTATTTAAATTGCTATTTACTGTGGCGCCTCCAGTAATCAACAACTTAACAAGCCGACCAAGTTTTGGTTTTTGCCCCCGCCCCCATAGAAAAACCACACTGAAATGACGCCCCTGTATAATTCTCTTAAAATGAAAGCCCCATAGAATTATAGTTTATTATAATTCATTCGACAATATCTAGCCTTCGTTCTAAATGAAATGAATAAAGTTTTTGAAATGTAAAAAAAAAAAAATTAATTAGTTGATTTATAACCCGAAAATAAAGCTTATAGGAAGTAATGAATTAAAATTAATTTAATTTTCAAGTCATGATTTTGGACATTTCGGTTTTATGACATGGTGTTAGTTTAAAAAATTATTACAATAAATTGGATTAACAACAACAAATAATAATTAAAAATAATAATAAAAATGTAAAAAATTTTCATTTTATAAATCTTTTTAATATTTTATAATATTTATAATAATTTTTTTAATATTATCTCTATTGCCTAAATGGATAGTGAAAATTTATAACGGATGAATGACAATAATAAATAATCCGCAATTTTTACAGTTACCTGCTGTTTACTATTCTGAAGTGGTTTCCATTGCTTTCAGGTGAACATCAGCTGTTTGTGTCCTAAGTCTTCCTTAGTGATAAAAAAAAAATGAGACGAAATGTAATGAAATGACATTCATATAACTTAGGATTTATAAAATATGAGTAATATATAGGTGAAACACGCACTCAGTATATTTTTAAAAGATGAAATTTCCGATTTGTTTTACATAAGCCTATTGACGACAGCGATAAGATCGTAGAACCAAAACCTTGCTGGATGACCATGCAGTTCTAAGGATGTATTGTTTAATTTTATATATAACATAAGAGGGAAATATATTTATACTTCTTTAAACTGCAATTTCGTATTAGATCAATTTATTTCTTCCACCACAAGGATGTGATGAGCGTGACCTGTATTTTAGATTTTTAGGTTACGCCTAAATTTAGAAGTGAAACGGCTGAAACGGCATTATTTCGAATTTCTTTACAGTTTAGCTGTTAAAGAATTGTGTGAAAAATCAACTTTGCTATAGTTTACCTTATATTATAAAATAATTCTCATTAGAGACGTTTTAATTTCATAAAATGTATACTGTATTACCTGAAATTAGTTAAGTTTGGCTGTGGTATTGCACCACACCGGCCACCAGCACCAAACAACAGAACGTAATCGTGGGATTTCCCGATTCATTTTCAACCGTTCCTATATTTTATTGTATATCAGAGCTCAGGGTACTTCCAATCACACCAATGAGAAGCGACAGCTCAACAGCTTTGGAGTAGAACAGCGTAATAGCCTTGGGGACAATTGTTATTTTCCTCAATGTCAATGAATCATTCGATAAATCGAACACAATAACACACAGTTTACAACAAACGAAATAAGAGAGACGATTCAGATTAGTTTAATATCAAATACGCTGTTGCTTGTCTGTTGCAGTGCAATATGTACTTGAAGCCAGTGGCGCTATATAAACCTAAGTAAGTTAGGAAATTAGCTTATTAGCTTATCGTGTCTCGAAACTGGAAAGGGTAAACCAGGGGCGGATATAACAGCATGGTAGGCCGAATGCATGAACTCCCCTAATCGTCTTTACATTTCTAATTTAATCATGTTATTTCGGATAAATAAAAACGGTACACTTATTGTATTATATTTTTAAAGTAGGAAAAACTATTAATTTTGTAAAAATACAAATGGCAATTTTTATCATTTGCGCAACGCATGAAGGGAATGGTGGTGCTTGGGGAACGGTTCGCCCCAGGCGGAACATATTTTTCTTTACATTAAGGCCAACTGCATCGTTTTTTTGGTGTTTTTTTTTTGGTTTTTTTGTAGAAAGGGGGCTGCAACCTGGCTACGCCACTGCTCTTGTTGTTAGTGAACGATGTGGTTTTGAAGCTGCTCAAGTTTTATTGGAATTGTCCTTGTTTTGGAAGATAATTTTTTTTTTATTACCTTTATTTCCACGTACTTTTTCAGAAGCTATGGCCACCATGTGTTAAGGCGAGGCGCGTTATGTCGAGGTTCAGCAATAAGCATATTTATGTCGTTGCTTCAATTATTGTCTTTTTGACCTACTGGTCGTTTGGACTGCATATTACCGAAATTAATTTACGTTGAACTTTTTACTATCTACCGATTTTTTTTGTTCTTTGGTTTTTTTTTGTTTCTTTTGTTACCGATATTATGTTTCTTTGTGTGTCTCAATGATGCCAATGGACTGGCCGACCATGACCAGTTGGGTAGGGACAGATAAACGCGTGGGGGTAGGGGGTTCGGGGTCCGCTCTGGGAGGCAAGTATGTTAAATTAAGGGGTTATACTTGGAGTTGGGGCAGGTCTAAATTTGGGGTTTCTGCTGGGAGATGGGGGACCAGGGTGTTATACTTGGAGTTGGGGCAGGTTTAAACTTGGGCTTTCTACTTGGAGGTGGGGGCCAGATAGACCAGGGGGCTATATTTGGAGTTGGGGCAGGTCTAAATTCGGGGTTTCTGCTGGGAGATGGGGGCCAGACAGACTAATGGGGTTATACTTAGAGTTGGGGCAGGTCTAAATTCGGGTTTTCTGCTGGGAGATTTGGGGGGGGGGGAGGGGGGCAGATAGACCAGGGTGTTATACTTGGAGTTGGGGCAGATCTAAACTCGGGATTTCTATTGGGAGGTGGGGGCCAGACAGACAAGGGTGTTATACTTGAAGTTGGGGCGGGTCTAAACTCGGGGTTTGTACGAGCAGGTAGAATTTGGGGTATGATGGATTTTTGGGTGGGAGGGGGTTGATTCAAATGTAAATTTTACTGAAAGGTTGGTGGTTTTGTGAGGGGGGGGAGGTAGATTAACTTGGGGTTTGCATTGTTATTTAAAAAGCAAAATCGCCTTATCGCAACGACATTACGATTTTTATCCAGTAAATTTTTTTTTTTTGGTTGGGTTATATTTGGATTTGGGGGGGGGGGGGGGG